GCTGGATACGAACAGGTGGAATTTACGTAGCTCATTTACACACTTTTCCTGAAGATAGAAGAGTTCGTTGAATCTGATGTGACATGTAAGAGAAATTTAGGATAAGAATACGAACATGTTTTTGCATGAGGCCCATTAATCTTAAAGAAACGTTTTAGTGTTTGACAATCTGACCCTGAACTATTCTGTAAATTATTTCAACAAGTAATGAATGTTTGTTAGTTACTACATGAGTGTCTTAKTTAAGACTCACCCATTGAGTGTAGGTTCTTGGTTCAGGGCTCTGATTCTGACATCCACTGATGGGACAAGCATTTGTGTGCTTCTATCATGGTCCATACCCCCGGGAATCTGACTCCTTCCTGCTGCCTCCTATCACATAAACAAAAACAAACAGTTTGAGTTTTAGATTTGTAACGTTGGGTTAAAAAATAAAACAGATTCTTTTCAGTCTCACAGCTTAAAATAAGTRATGAAACAAACCAAACACAGGAAACAGGACAAGTTTGCAGCAGACTGAGCAYACAGCACATCTTTAAATATCAAATATAAATCAATATCTTACCTGCTGTACATAGGAACAAYAGCACTTTGCAAAAACAGCTTATTTTTGACTGGATTGAAGAGGTAACAGGTTAAGTGAAGAAAAGAACAGACTGGATTGTTGTCATATTAAAAACACCAAAGTGGTTCAACAAGTATTAATTTTATAAACGTTTAAATCACTGTTAGTTTTGTTTTACAGTTATTTGCATAGAATCCCATGGCATCKTATGGGAAGTGCAAAAAGCAACAYCAGTTAGCTGTAGCACTTCCAGCAGGAATATCATAACATTTTCTGCAAGAGTTGAAATGAATCATTGCAACTCTTTTTGTCATAAGAAAATTTTGGTTTTAGCCTAGCTGTTAGCTCATCAGTCCCGTCAAAAATCCATCTTTAACAGGTAAGATACTTTTTGTTTATCACTTTTCCACATCTYAACAACAGCTTTAAGTGTTGTCTCATGTGATCTCTGACCTGCGGTGCGATCTGTGGAGGGATGCCTTTGATGCCTCTGAGCCGTTCCTTCTCCTGCCTTTGCTGCAAGCTAAGCATGCCAGGGTTCATCTTCTGAGCTGCAGCAGAGAATTCACAAAAAAAAAAAAAAAAAAAAAAAACACACACACACAACTTTTGTATGAAATGTTTCCATCAGGTGAAACAATCAATTGTAGGAAGACATTTTAAAACTTTGCGATCCTATGTTTTTGTTGTTGTTGCCGAAGAAGCAACCTGTGATAATGGACATTTAGAATAGAAAAAATAAAAATGTTTCTCACTGACAAAAGAAGAATTGTCAATTCAGGAGACACAAATTTCATATAGTGTGCTACCTAGACGCGGGTCGACCCACGTGGTGATCTTATTTATGTGATCGATGTAGTACACCTCTCCATCTGCAGTCACAGCCTGCTCCCAGCCTTCAGGCAGTGGACCTGAACAGCAGTGAAAATACACAGTGAGAAGGCAAATGGTAGATGGAGAGAATGGAGTGTTGAGGAAAACAAAATGTAGAATGTAGTCCATATCTTTAAGTGCTTTTTGCAGAATTTTTAAATAATAAATATACGTGAAGGATTGTGGGGAAAAAAAAAACACTAAAAAAGGTTCTGTTCAGCCAAATTACACTGCAAAAAATTACAATACTTGTAAGATGCAATGTCTCCTAAACTGTAAAAACTGCCATTTGCTTGAATCAGAAATCTGAGACGGCCTCAGAAAATCATTTATTTTTGTTTTTTAAAGGGATCCATGATTAGTGGTAACATTAGACTTTATTCGATTAAACATTTATTTTAATTGAAAATAAAGACTGTAAAAATACTGTAGGCTGTTTAGTTTTTATCATTTTGAAACTAAAATTTAAGAAATATATTACACGGACGGGGCCATTTTATTTATACGCAAAGCATTCTGGGTAAATGATGACATGGATAGGTCCTTGGTGTGAGGCTGCTGGTGAGCTATATCCACCCTGAAGGTTAATCTTGGACAATATCTGATGATCGACTCTTTTAAATGAAACCAGAGAGCGTTGACAGAGAGGAGAAGGTAGAAATGACTCAGCCTGGAACTGAAAATATGGATGGAGGACAACAGAGCTGCTTCATGGAAGAAGAACCTCAGCTTACAGGGGTAGACATAAAGATATTTTTCAGGTTGTCCAGCGGACAACCTGTTGACAAAACCTGGTTGTCCACAAAACATTTTGGT